AAGGTGTATCAGGTACTCTAGTAGATTCCAGAACAAGTCTACGAGCAGGGCTAACTAATGTTATAAATGGTAATCCTGCAGTTCTTGTACTGAGTAAATTGTCATGAGATAGAGTAGCAGGTAGCAAAACTTCTCGACTAAGAGGAAATATACTGGTTGTTTTGAAACCTTCCATTATGCTAGTCATTGACATGGCTTTACACAACGCTGGAGAAAAGGGCTGTGAGAACTCACGCCTAGTAATAACTCTACTGGGATTCTGAACATGGAATTTGTTGCACTCATGCCTCCAGTAGCGTTTGAGAGGACTAAAAATGCCCTTATCAAGTGGCTGTGTGATGTGAGAAGAATGATGAGGAAGACAAAATATAACTATATCTTCTGCTACCTTCTCAATCGTTATGAAGTTGTAGTGAGAGAATGCCCATCTAAAAGTAAAAGAGCTGGTCATGTTTGAGGGGCATAAGCCAGGATATGGTGGCGAAACCATTGGTCAAAGAGCTCACTATCCATTCATCTGTTGCTGGATAGTCCAGAAATAGTACCTGGAACTTTCCCAATTGAAAACTTAGGAGGGATTTGTTTACAGTCTAGAATTACAATTGGGGGTATTGCATATCCTAGTGCCTTGCAACATGAAACTACTGTTAACCGAGATTTATCACCTGCTGACACTCTAGTAACTGGATGATTTGTACCTTTTTGTGATAAAACTCTTGGAGGTACAGGGTTTAATGGCATACCAATCTCGTCCATATTAAAAATAACTGTGGGTTTGTCATATAAATTGTACTCAGTAAAAGTCTCCTCCAAAAGATTAAAGTACCGCTGAAGGATGTCTGGCCGAGTTCCTATAGCACGAACATGTTAAACTGACTCAGGAGACCTAAGTATTGTACAAGGATGTCGCCGTCTAAACGATGTCCACCAACCTAGAGACACATTCACATCTATCTTTTCGTGCATCATATAAATACTAGCTCAATAATTTGACTTTTTGTATGAAAAAGCTAATATCAGTGCATACCTCAATAAATTGGACTGGTTCTCTTCTTCACTTAAGTAACTCTCGGGGCCACTTGTCGAACCAAACTGTACATGACCACTAATGCTGTCGTGCAAAGTTGATTTTGGTATGTTATACATTTCAGCAGCTCTTCTAACGGAAACTCCATCCTTCTGAACTGCCAAATACACTTTATAAAGATTAGAGTCAGTCCACAACTTGTACTGGTACAGTCTACCACTATGATTGGTGGCTGCATCACAAGTACCTACTGTGTCAGAGAAATTAACAATTAGCTAGTTGTAAAAAGACCAATATTTTTTAAAAATTATATTGTTCACATGTTTTCACTTGCAAGAAGAGGTGACAATTGTTTACCCTGTGCTTCTAAAATGCCGACTTTTAATGTCAGACTTCTCACATGTGCTTGCCATCGCCATTGCAAAAGACTCTGCCTATGAAAGGTGTGGTATCGGGCAGTAAACTACGATGGCCACTCTTTGTATCATGTTTCTGCAGCAAGAGAGCAGCTAGCTATTTATTATTGAAATCTGCAAAAAAGATAGGACCATAGAGAGGCTTCAACCTCTTTCTTTATTTTCTACTGCTGTCTATTCAAGGAATTATTTCTGTACAAGGATCGTATGTGTTGGCCGAATATGAGTAATTCCGATTTCAACTTTTGGCAAGAATTTGTAAAAAGACAGACTTCTTCCACTTTGTTTATAACATGTATTAATGGGATTATCATTGAATTTTGTAAAAATATATAAGAGGAGTCTGCAGCAGATAAACTGATCCAGTAATAGTGTCTGAGATTACATGTTATCCAAACATCCATTAATTACTCTACTGGCAATGCCATCATTTATTTGATGACAGCAGTTACAGTTTATATTCTTTTTTGACACTATTGTTAATCTATGTGTACCTTTGCCGTGTTGATGTGTTATCACTTTTCTTTCGTTTTTTCTTTCTAGAGCTAGTCATGACCTCCTTCCATGAAGCACAACAAAGTTCTCAACGACTAATTTTAGAGGGTTACAAGCACACTAAATCTGTAAGTACACTGCCTAGTGCCTACTGCCTTTATCATTCTGCATCTACTAATTTTAGCAAGACACCTTTATATGCTAAATGATGGTTATTAGTTA